TATATCAATATTTATTTATAAGAACGAGTTTGCAGCTAAGATGAGAAGACAAAAGAAAAACTATTCTACTACAGGTAACAAAATGAAGAAAGTTTTCAGAAATGGAATAATTTAAAAAGCGAAACAAGTAACCTCAAGATGCCTTCACAACCAGAACTTAAAAAAGTTAAGCGCTAGGGAAGTGAAATCACAGATGGAAGTTGCCATCTCATAACACCCCAAAAGATGCCGAGGAAAGAACAGCGGTTTTCTTGGGGCTATTTGCCCACATCACTTATACGATCTGTCAATGCCCAAAGAAATTCATGTTGTTAGCAATTGTTGGGCTCTGTCATTTAGTGACTTGATTGGCTTTCCGTATCGAATCAGAACAAGCTGACAGTGCATGAGGCCGATCGACCTGCAGTTTATGAATATGTTAAGGAACGCGTTGATTTCAGAGTTCTCACTCCAGGCGTGGAGTGCAACATTTTTGTTTCTGACTTGTAGCAGAATTAGGCATGAAGGGCGCGAGGAATGACCTTCTTTTTGCTCAGTTCTCTATCTGTCTTATCGCCTTCTAAGACAAGAGTTCGGCTCTCGTCCTCCCAACACCTGTTTCTTCAATTTCTTCTCTCTCGGAAAAATAAATTTGATGAGCATACATCACCAAAAAACGGCAGTTAGTACCTAGTACTCTTCACTTACAGCATTAGGTTCTTTTAATTAGCGAGAACCTCTTAGTTTACCGATTTTTGTTTTGGGACTACCATTTCGCAAGACTTTTGTATTCGTGATTAAAACCAACCTGTGCCTATTTTCATTGCACCTTCAGCATTATTTCTATATTAAAGTTTTCAAGTTTGGTAAAGTCTTTTAAAACATTAGTTTTAAACTTTTCACAGAAAAAACGTTCAAAATAGCTCACTTTGATCTTCATTAGGTTTATACTTAGCTGTGTTTCTGCGGCGGAAAGATTTTTTTTGAAGCAATACTTGCACCTTAAATTTCCTCCTTTTTACCCATAATGATTTTTGCAGGTCTCCTGTTCGTTCCCCAATGATAATATTAATTGGACTATTGACAATCTTTATAATATGCTTGATACTGAAAAGGCAACAACTGCAAGAGAACTATCGATACATAAAAAATATTTATGACAACGTTAACAAGATACCTGGACCGAAGGCTATTCCGCTTTTTGGCAACTGTCTGAGTCTCATTGGCAACAGAGTTGGTAAGGTTGAATATGGAATTTTTACGGATGGTCAAATAAGAATATTAGTGAAATATAGTTAGAAAAGATTCTCTTCTGGTAACATGGCGTTCAAAGTTTAGAGTTTACGTACCATATGGAATATTATTTTCGAAAATATGCCTACAAAACCGACCCTGGTGTATTACGACTCTGGATCGGGCCCGTTCCTATGGTCTTCCTTACTCGAGTACCTAGCATTAAAGTTAACCTTTTATCGTCATTTTTTTATATGAAGACGCCTCTTGCAAAGTTGTTTTTTTCCACTGCTTCAATCTGATAATCTAAAATGCGTTGAAAACTCTGGACTTCTACGTATACATAGGCGACAGTGCCAAACAGTATAGTTTTTAGACCGTTCTGGAAAATCCAAATTTGACTGACAAACCAGAAGAATATAAAATTCTTAAACGTATTACAGGAGAAGGTTTAATATCGAGGTAAGTTTTACGAAGACAAGGAAATGTTTTTCCCAATTTTATCAATTAAAGTTTGAATAAATAAATATGCTTCTGTGCTGAAAATATCGTAAAAGAAGTAGAGAACAAGAAGCGAAATTTGTGTGAGATTTATAAAATCAACTTAAATATGTTTTGGTTCCGGCGAAAAATGGCATACAAGAAGAAGGATGCTCACTTGCGCTTTCCAGCCAACTGCGATTAAAAGTTATGAAGAACGTTTTAATACATATGCGCGTGTGAGTTTTTTAATGCATAATTATTAAACAGAACTTTTTCTTTGAAAAACTTCACAAACATTTATCTAAAAGATATGCTTAAGGTTTTATTGGAAGTACTGGACCAATATGCAGACAAGGATGAGACTTTTGATTTGCTTCCATATCTAAAGCGTTACTCCGTGGATTTCATGACAGGTAGACTTTGACTTGTTGCCTACAAATTTCTATTGAGTGAGGCCCTTTTACTTTTTCCTTTGTTATTATTTTCAGTAGTATTTTTACAGGCTGAAATTGATTAACATCTGACCCTTTAAAGTAAGAAAAGGCAAAAAATTTCATCAGATTTTGAAACTTAACTAATTTTTTAAATGTTTTAATAAACTTTAATTTTAGATAAGGGCCTAAAACTTAATAAGAAATAAAGCAGTGGAGGCAGATAGAGTTGGGATTTCGAAACTCTTTTCGTTTGATGGCTCTACTTTTACTTCGTTTAACCACACTTATAAATTCTAATAGTAATCGATGTGGCTGCGTTTTATTACAACCAGTAATGGAGAGTGGGTCATCAAGCTAAAAGAACCAAGATTTCTTTCCAAAAAAGGAAAAAGAGGCCAAAAAACTCTCAGAAAATCTAAGATTGTTTGAGCAGTTGCTTTTTATCTTCTAACATTTGAGCAAATTATGATAGCGCAGTCACTTTTCTGCTACTCTCAACGTACACTTTTTGCAGGTGGGGTAGCATAATGTCCCTCGTTTCATTTGTTTTTCGCGTTGTTTACTTTATTTTTAAGTTTCTTCGACGGATTTCAATTTTTTGCTTTTTTGAGTCTTTTCTTATCATCTAAAACTTAACGCTAAGTTGCATTTTTCAAAAAGAATGTTTTCTCAACAGTTAAAAAACATATATGATTATTAAAAGTCGCCAAGTATGCTTCTTACAGATGCAACGTTCGGAATACAAGTCAACACTCAGAAAGGTGAAAACTTGGATTATTATGAAGCAGTCACGCGAATACTTGAATTAGGTTTTGAAACCTTGTATTCTCCATGGTTAAGAATCGGCGTAATCTCACGCCTATTCGGACACGCTAGGAAAATGGACAACTACCAATTAATCGTAAGACGTGTACAAAGAACGGTAGTAGTTTTTTTCATTGTACTGTATTGTAGGCAAAAAGCAAAAAAGCCAATTTTTTTAGGCTGTGATAGAGGGCAAAAAAGAGCATGACAGAATGAAAGAGAAAACTTCGCTTGGAAAAAAAGAAAAGAAATGTTTTTTGGATTGGTTGTTGAACTTGCAAGATGAACGTAATTTGAGTTTTGAAGACGTCTGTGAGGAAATAGCAACTACTTTTTTTGCAGGTATTTTGGTTTGCTATCAAAATTCTGCACGATCTTTCCAAAATTACGTGCTATAGATAAAAAATCCATTATTGAAAAAGAGCTGAACATTCTGTCTTGAACTGAGGCAATTGGCACACAGCATAATGGTGAAATTTTCTACTTAACTTAAGAAAGTCGAATTCAAGATGAGTAAATTCTTTCTTAGCTTTCCACTCTCAATGTTTCGGCTGAACTAAGTAACTGCAATAAATAAAAGGATGGTATTGAGAATTATGTACGAGAAAAATCTTAAAATTTGAAAAAAAATTAATAAGAAAAATAAAATATGCTAGTTATCTCTCGATAGAATCTAGATTTTAAAAGAATTAAGCTTTAAGTTGTATAAAAAAATGAACTTTTCAAGATGCACAGTTTAAATTTCCAAAGATCAAATTTCTTTATGCCTTGAGTAGTAGATGACGATTAGGAACCGTTTGTTTTAGGTCATGATAACGTATCGAGTAGTATCGGATTTGTACTTTTTATTTTGGGGCTGAATATGGAATGTCAAAACAAAATTTATGAAGAGCTGAATAGTGTGCTTGGTAAGGCTGCAAATAGTTTAAATTAAACATTGACTTAAAAATACAAAAAGTGAAATAAGATTTGAGGAACAAACTGGACTAACAGGTATATTTCAGCAGTTTTTCTTTTTAAGGTGATGAGGAGCGGGAAGTTACTACAGATGACGTCAAAAACTTAGTCTACTTAGATCGATGCATCAAGGAGAACCTGAGACTTTATCCGCAGGTTGTGATTGTTGCAAGACGTATTACTGAAGACATTAAGATTGGTTAGTTCCTTTAAATACTTATATGAATTTTTAAAAACTAACTTTTACTGCAATATAACTATTTGTAAGTACTATTAAGTGATACTAGAAGGATGAAATATTAATTCTGCTAAGCTCGAAAAATTGTGAATTAGGTCACAGTTTTTGAAGTCAGGTTTTTTATGTGACAGATGTCAAAACAAAGAAATTCATGATTAAGATATTTATGTAAAAAGGTGACCAAAGTGCCTAATTTTTGTAAAAAATGAAAAAATGAGAGAGAAGCAAAATTTAAAACTTTTTAAATAAGACGAAATTTTGGATTTTGTTTGCTTAAAATCTGTAAAAAACTTTGTTTGAAACATTCCACAACAAATTTTTATTGGTCGACATTTGACGCAGAGTCTTCAGTAGTTGCTGAATGGCTTATTATGTTTCAAACTTTCTTACATACGGGTGGTTTTACTATTTAATTTCAGACCGCAGCCGCAAAGTAGTGAGCGAATAAAAGTGTAAATTGAAAACTTAAATTTTGAAACTTAGTAGCCGTTTTGATTACCTTCTGAATTTACTTTTAAATAGTCTTGATGCACTTTCATTACTGCCACTTTTCGCTACCTAGCTCATCATTTAAAAGCGACAAACTAAGTTTTAAATTGTTAGGGAATAATTTTAGAGTTTGTTTCGAAATAATTTTAGCCGGGCAATCTTGAAATAATTTTAAAGTTTTAAAAAAATAGCGAAACTGGTATCTCATTGATAAAGCAGAAAGAGTGCTCCTGGAGCGTACACCAAAATAATCTTAAAGTTAGAGTTTGCTTGGGAAAACATAATTTATGAGAAATTTGGCCAAAGCAACTAAAGGGGATAGCTTTTCATCTGAACTGTCTTAAATAATTCCGTTTTCAGCGGTTTATTTTTTTAGGAGAATATACGATTCCTGCTGGTGTAACAGCGTACATTTCACCATTCAGTGCAGCAAGAGACCCAAGGGTACTGCTTTTTGAATCAAAATTTTCTTTTATTTAGGCGGTCACGGATAGCTATAAAAAACCGTTTCAAAATTAAGCTTAAGTCATCAAAACCGATGAGTTATGAGATGCGCAAAAATTACGTAGCCAAATAAAGAAATTTTAAACAAATGAAGGAAGTTAATTAGAAAAAGTAGCTACTAGATTGCTGCAACTTTTTGTTATGCAATTTTGGTTGAAAGAAGTATGGGTAGATTTTTTATTCACTAATTAAGTGCATTTTATTTTTATTGATTCTCCTTCTTTCTTCCTAAATAATAAGCTTTTATATCAGTTTTTTTCAAAACTTAAAAGGTCGAAATTGCATCTATCCTTGTCATTTCTTGAAGTTTCTTTTTTAAAAACCACGTTCTTATTAAATTTTAATTTTTGAACGTATCAAAGATACGTCTACGAACCTTGTAGTGAGACTGTCTTCAAACGGTTTATTGTATTCGACTTTTAAAGGTAATAAAGAATAAAAGATTTACTTTAATGATCATATCAATTTTGCTGCACATTGCTTGTTCAAAAAAACTGTAGTTGGGTTAGATGCATACCACAGATTTCGATTTTATGCTGGTAGAAATTTTACAAAATTTTGAAGCTAATTTATTGTACTTTTGAAACAATTTATTCGTTTTTCTAAAGTTTGATTCAAGTCGGCTAAAGTAAACCAACTAAACTTTGATTTTCGTTGCGCAGGTGTGAATTTCAAAAGTAAATAAAACGGGTAATTTCTCTTCATCTCGAGCTTTGAAATGCTCAAATCACTTTTAATCAATGTTTTGTATATTTATACTGCTGAATCTGTATATTATTATTTAAACTGCTGTTTCTTCCACTTGTCTTTAGTTACAAATGAACAAAAAGTTATGTTAATTTAAGCTGAATGAATTTTTACAAAATGGCATTGGAACTGTTATCGATAATCTAACAGTTCAAAGTTCTGAAATTTCAGGAGTGGAAAGAACCAGATTTCTTTAATCCAGACAACTTTTCAGCAGAAAATATTGCCAAACGAGATCCCTTTTCATACATACCCTTTTCAGCAGGAATCCGCAACTGTATTGGTAGAAACGTCTTTTTCTTTTGTTACAATGCTCTATAAAACCGTTTTTAAAACACAATTTTTAGACAAACTGAGTTTTCTGCCATTAAACTATAAATGATACGAAGGCTTTTAAAAGTCCAAAAAACGTTAAAATGTGAAAAAATTTGGAATGAGAAGATTAATTTCAATAAAAATCTTTTATATTTAGCTATATTTTTCGATCTACAGTTTCTTATGAAATCTACTACGGGTGGAATTAAAAAATATATATGTGTAAAAAGTTTTTAGGACAGAAATTTGCTTCCGCGCAGGAAAGAATAGCGTTAGCGCATCTTTTACGGCGATACGAGTTTCATTCGATGGTTACGGAGGAACAAAACAGAGCAATTCCTGAAGTTTCGTTAAGACCCAGTCGGGGATTCCCAATGAGAATTACTAGAAGGAAGAAGAAGTATTAGTTTAGCGTATTGAACTTCATTGTCAAATGATAAAAAATGCTCAGAAGAATAATAACGAAATTCAGCTGAATTTGAACCTTCATATCTCTTGTCATATAACTCAAAGCTACGGCGAAAAAAATAAAAGAGCTGCCAACTGGCATATTGCATCAAAGTTTATTAATGCATTCACAGTTATTTGAGACTAACTGACTCCGCTAAAAACTATATCAAACCCAGTCAGATTTTTTGCTTTCAGTAATAGCTTATAACAAGTTGTCAAATTTAGACAGCGCAAAAAAGTGAATTAAAACTTTGGCGAATTTTACAGAAAATGGTTGTTATAGCAAATGATGAAATAATTGTGCTGACTTCAAGGAAAATATAAAAATTTTTGTGATATGAATTAACTTATATAAAATAAATAATAAACTTCGGAGGAAATTCTTAAACCTAAAAAAAAGAACCAACTTTTAACGAGAACAAAAAAATTACCTTTTACGGCATACATTGCAGGCATTATACATTTTCTTTGAATTTACCAAAGATTCAGTGGACGCGTTTATAGCAGCGTTAAAAAGAGTAGATAAAATAGGGATTTCTGCATTTGATATTTAAGATTAAAACACTAATAGCTAATGTGGTTCAAAAAATAAATTTTTTTTTTTATTAAACTTTATATTTTGTCAAAAAAGCGCTAATTCCAGAAAATAAGAACAGTTTAAGTAGACAAATACATTTTTTCTCCTCTTTCAGTGGCTTCAAGTAACAATCATTTATTTGAAAAACGGCTAAATAATCTAACTGTCCACTGTTCTCACTGTTGCCAATACTTTAATACTACCCTCAAACACCTGCCGAAAGTAGCAAATTTACTCTTATTTCCTGCAGTCGTCTCTCTTTCAATCATTTCATTTTTCATTCATCTCTGCTTTTCTTCTGTATTTTCAACTGTAAGATGCAGTACAACAAATTTAAGTTTAAAATTGATGCATTTGAAGAACAAAAGAAATATTTTTCTCTTTGACTTTGCTTTCAAAACTAATATTCTTAATTCTTTCGATATTTCAACCTATTGCTGAACCTGTTTTTGTGTAAACTTTAAAAATATCACTGTACCAAGAATTGTAAGATTCAAAAACTGCTAAAAATTTACTGTCTTTTCAGAACTTACAATTTTTTTCCCTGAGTAGCTTTTTTTACGAAAAAAATTTATTGCGTCGCTCCGTTAAACTCTGAACAGACAAACAAAAGTGAAAAACTTCAAAGTGTTATGTCAAGCATTTTCAGTAAAAAAATGCTGCTGAAAAAAAAAGAAATATCATTTTTTTTTTAAAATACAGATGCCATTAATTGTTTTGAAAAACAGGAATTGCGCGCAGACTCATACTTGTCAGCGTTATCTACGTCATAAATATAAAAATTAGAAGCCCCGTTCACACTTAAAAAGTCGCATTGAGACACTACGGGTTGGAAATAGTTTTTTAAATAATTTTGATGTCGAACCAGTCACTTACAGAACTTCTACCCGTTTACTACTCTTTGTCATTGATTTATGTTGTATGTACGTTAGTTTACGCTCCACAACGGTTATATATCAAATTCAAATTCTATCAGTCATTTCAAAAATTTTTATAACTATTCAATAACAAATGTATTCGTCTGATACCGGGTTGTTCCGGTTGAGCGGAGCTTCTACACATTAATGGCACTACATAAACATTCCGAGAAGAAACCCTCAAAAAACCTCTTTCTCCAGAAACACAGCCGCCGTCTTCCGACAATTAAGGCGACATTTTGGTTGCGTCAGCCTCCGCTGGCAACTTAGTAGTTCTTGCGTAATGCTAAAGGGCAGCACTCCCCAGTTGAGAACTTATAAACAGCAGTCAGAAACTATCATCGGGTTTAACTGTAAGTGAAAGAACGAATGCAGAGAGGTCAATATGAAGAACGATGCCGTGGTAAGGAACTTTTGGAAACAGTGAGTTGCCATGTAAAAAGAGGCTGGCTTATTTAAGAGATGTATATTAAATAAAGGGTGGAGGTTCATACGCATCGTTGTCACTTCTTTTTTTGTCACTGCCACCTCCACCGTCTTCTTCTGCAACTTTTCCGCCAGAAACCAGCTAGCCAATCAGTGGACTGCGGTGGTAAGTGTGCGAGAAGTCTAAATGAGTTATGTTATGCATTACAGCTACATGATAAGTTTTTGCTTAAACATTTGCAGCATTGGTAAAAAATTCTGCACTACAATCAGCTGTTTGTGAAAATACTAATGTGGCAATTAATAAGGCGAACGCCTCCCGTGAATAGTTAAGGTATCATCTTGTGCTACATTTGAAACTAGTTTAGTGAACTTTCTGGAAAATCCTAAACACGGGTTAGTAAAGTTAGGCTACCATCAAATGAAAAAAATTGGATTTTTGGGCGAAAGAACTCTTATTAACTTTTTTCCTAGACAATAAATATCTCTCTAGTCAGAAGGTATAAAATCGGTTAATAGCAGATATTATAATTGCTAATAATCGTCAGAACATGTGATTCATTTGTGACTTAGCTGTGAAATTGAGGCAAAGAATTAAAATGAGATTTTGACCACGAAGGCAAAAAAATTGCAGATATTGTTCCAAGACCGTATTTTTTACTTCATCTACTAAAAGTTAATTTATACAACGGCTTTATAAATAGCTTTCTTTATGATTTTGGTACTTTCAACGTTTGAAAAAGCAATTGTAAAAGTTGGGTTAGGTAAAAAATTATTAGCGTCTAAGCCAAAGTAAGCAAAAAAGGTGTAATTGAATACAGCATCAGTGCTGCTTTTATCTACTGCAAGAGCAGGTGCAACCAAAATAAAAGTTTGTTGAAACGGTGAAAAAAACTTCAGATTATCATGGCCTTTTCGATAAGAAACCTTCCTCATTCGCCTGCTCAAGTTTTACACCGTTTAAACATGAATGCCGGAAGTACTAATTTCTGCTGAAGCAATAATTGCAGTTTATCTGGTTTATAAATTTTTCAGTAGGTCAAAGTTGTAGAAACTTCCAAAAAAAATTGAGCTTAAAACAGCCTATAAAATTCCTGCTCGTAAAATGCAGTTAAGACAACGTTAGCTTTCAGGCAAACTGAAGATATTTCGTTATTGTTTTCACGACTGCATCTCCTCCCTCACCAAAATGGTGTTCCTAATGCAATCTTTTCGCCTTTTGTACAAGGCAATACAGTATCATACACTGACTGAAGCTTCTAATTAAATCTGTGAATAGAGAAGCTCCCAAGTGCTTCGCGGTCACATATAGCAGCTTTAAGAAACTGCCTACATTTTAACGTCAAATTTTTTACAGACTTTTATGTGAGAACTGACACACACTGCACAGATCATGAAATTATGCGCCAAGGTTTTTTCGCGTTTGCTGCTGCATGATACTGTGAAAACTTTAAGCCAAGATCTGGAGTACAATACTTAGTGACCACTTAACAGTAGATAAAAAAAAAGATTACTCATTAGTTTTTTCTGTCGTAATTATCTAAATTTGCTGTTAGCTCGTAAAAATGATTACAGCACGTCATTGACGGTGAATTGTCTGTTAACAGCGCCGTCTACGTCGTTTTCTCTTTATATTTTCTTGTTTGCGCAAATGAAGTCTGAAGGAAATATAACTGTAATTTCTTAGTTTATTTCAGCGGTCACGATCTTCTCTATTAATCACGACCGTAAATTGGCACGAACCTTATCAGCAACTGTTAACGGTTGAAGAAAAATTATTTTTTTATAATACGTCTAAACATATTCCAACAAATGGCAACGATGTTTATTATGTCTAGCTAGTCTGTTTTCTTCCTTCTAGTTATGCGCATTGGAAACCCTCGACTTGGTTTCAGTGAAATTTCTGCCACTTGTCGGTTCTGCTCTTCGGTGAGCATCGAGTGGAACTCATAACGGCGCAACAGATATATTAATGCCACTTTCCGTTCTAGCAGAGCAATAGGTTTTCCTGCAAACTTATCGCAAAAGTGAAGTGTGTTTAAATTTACAGTAACAGATGACAGTAATTTAAAAATTATGATTTTAAAAAATATTTTATATGTCTTTTTCCAAAAAATGGGTTCTTACCAACACAGCTGCGAATTCCAGCGGAGAAAGGTATGTACGCAAAAGTATCACGTTTAGCACAATTTTCTTCAGAAAAGTTGTCTGGATTAAATACTTCTGGCTCATTCCATTCCTAAAATTCTAATCCACTTTTCCTCAATAATTTAAGATTAGCACTTAAAAGGCTTTGAAGTCATAAAAAACACTACCTGTACCATTAAAATTTGCGTAATTGACTTCTGCATCACTTTTACTGTTTTTTGACTAAGTATTCAAAGAATTGATAATCTTAAAGTGCACTAGTCTAAACATTTCAGTGACGAAAGAGATGGCTTTGTGCTTTTAGAATCTACAATGAAGGCCTTTGATCACGTGACGTGAAAAACGCGTAACCATGTGTAATTTTATTTATAAGAAAAGGCATTCCATGAAGGCGGTGAACAAGCACTTTACGGCAAGAAACTAGGAGCAGAAGAGAGGAATTAGGCCACTTTCTACTAAAACCAAAAAATAAAGGAACTTCCCACTCTCATATTTTCTAAATTATGTGACAGGTTCCAGAAAGATAAATAATCAAGGAAGAAACGTTTGTCAGTAAAAACCTGTTTCTAAAAAATTATATGGGTTATGCAAGACAGCATATTTAATTAAAAATATTAGTAACAAGCAATTACAACAGACAAAAATTTAAAGAAATATTTTCCTTTGAATAATTCCACAAAGTCCATTAGACCACTGTCACTGTCAATAGATAAGATTTCTTGCTAAGTTGCTGATTTTCATTTCTTAAAATTTTTCATTGTCTATTTTTTCACAGAATCTTATAAGCTATCCTTTAGGTTTTCAATGATATATTAATTTAAATCCAACTTCGGCGTTTTATTAGTCACAAAGCATTCAACCAGAGTTCAACTTTGAGCGCAGAGTCTAATATTAAAGTTTTGACAACAGTCAGCGAAGGCACCAAACCAAAATTTCTCAAGGTCTTCGCTAAACAGCCAAAATGGCTGGTATTTTCTGCTGCAGCTTCCTGTGGGAAATCGTTTCAAATATTTTTAGATGAATTCGAATTTGATTATTGCTAGAGCCACTCGTTTTATCAAGGATTCTTGGTCTCAAATAACACCTGGAAGTACATTTGTGTTTTCACTTCTCCTTCGCCATCAAATTAGGCAGGAACAAAAACAATCCATGTATTGTTTGTATGCATGTAGTCTTCTGTCACTCATAAGGAAACCATATTGAAAATAATGTCATTAACGAAGCTCTTTTGTTTTTACATTTTTTCGGAGTTTTTCGCATTTGCATTTCAAATTATTGTCACTTCAACAGATAATTATTGATAAAGCTGAAGATTTCATCTTCTCAAAACAGTGCCAGATATCCTTCTTTGGGAATGGAGCAAAGGTGAAGCTCTCCGAATGGAGCAATAAAATTTAGCAAGCCTTCAAAATATAAAATCTTAACATTTTTTACGTCAGGAAACAGCTGTCTTTGTGATCACTAGAAAACTCAAACACATTCGCTTTTTTTTATTAGAGCATAACACTCGACTGCGGTTAAACCCTTTCAGCTATTCACTAGTACGTCTTTTCATCTATAGTTTTCAAATGAAGTTTGGTCAATAAACCACCCATAAATAATTTTAAAACTGATTACTACTTTTAAAAAGCAGATCAGCTCTTACACAGAAGGAGACAAAAATTACCTAACTAGCTCACCCACTTGTAATTTCTGACTTTGAAGCAACTACTCTTACCGCCATACACTTTATAATGCTCAGTGAAGTTACTATAATAAGATCTCGGCGGAATAAGTCCCAGATATCCTCGTCATTGAACTAGTTTTTTCCTGCTAAATTTGAATTTGTTTTTTTACTCCACTTAGCTAAAAATTTGATCTTTTTAATCATTTTTCAAACCTGGATTGCTTTAAGCGGCATTACCTACTGTGAACCGACGATTCAGTTACAATTCATTTTCTATCTCCCTTCTTGTGTTAATTGCTGTTAACTTTCTCTACTATATTTAGTAAGCTGAGCTACAGGTATCTTCTGCGACTAAGTTATTTATTTAGAATGATTTTTTCTTTCTATGCAATCCATTCTCTTTTGTTTATACTTCCTCCAAAAATGTATTTGCAAATATTCAACTAGAAATCTTTCTGGCTAACACAGAGGTAGGGATGTTTCCATTGGAACACACACCTCACATAGCTCTGCAGATATTAACTTAGAAAGCATCACTTACTTCAAGTAGACTACCATTATAGCACTTATTAGGTTTGTTTGATCAGCTGCAGTGGTAACTTTGAAACAAGTTAAAAAGTGTACATTCTTACTCTTTCTGAAAACGTATATTTAAAAGACACTTTTACAAGCAAGATTTAAAAAATCATTACCTTGGGATCTCTTCCTGTACTAAGTGGTGAAATGCAGACCGTTGCACCGTTAGGAATTGTGTACTCTCCTAAAAGAAAAATTAAGTGCACGCTATAAAAAACCAAGTAAAAATTTATTCTTCTTAAAATTTAAATGGATTTGCAACCCCTCAATGCTGTTAGAAAACGCAGCATTTTTATTGAAGATCCCAATCTTTTATAACTTTTTAACGGCGGAACAGAGGAGTATCGCGCAAATTAGATTGGCAGCAACGTAAGTTTACCAGTTACAGGTATTTTGAAAAACTATTCTACATTAAAAAGACTATTTTTTCCTTTTTTTCCTTTCTCTTTTCTCAACTTTTTTAATTTTATTTTCCCCTCTTTTCTTCTCAGTCCTCATTATTTCCCATTCCTTTCCCATTTCCTTCACTGTAGGAGGATGCGACAATAGAGAAACGAGAAACAGATCTGAGTAAGGAATAGACAGTGGGGGATTTATGTTTCCAGGGTGGCAAATATAGAATTACCGAAAACTACTTGGTTCCTGCTAGCTCTATCTTCTACTTTGTTTTCGACGTTTCACCACTGCCTAACACCGTTCTCATTAAGTCAAGTTGCAGTCAAAATCTCTCTTATTGAACTAATCCAAATTATGGAAGATGCCTTCAAACTCAATTCCAGACTTTCTGGCTGAACTAGTTTTTAAAATTTAGACCTATCATGCGGCAACCTGGCAAACTCAGAAAGCTTGAAGAGGAGGGTGAATGACGGGCATTTTTGCTCTTACACTAGCCGCAATTCTTCAGTTACTTGCTCGCTTCTTTTTTGTTGCTGCCTCATTCAACAGTTCTTGCTAAGGAAGACAAATTAGTGTTTTTGATCCTATAAGCGTAAAGCTGATGAAAACAAATATTTTTTTAATTCAAATTTTCCGCTCCTTCGGTTATAACGCTCCTCATTTTTCGCTAAAAAATCTACGCATTCCGGTAGCAGAAACATTTTTTCAAAGTTACTCATTTTATATTGAACTAAATTTAAAAATACCGTAAAGCATTTAGAATTTTTTATAACCAAATCTTATAAACACCCAAAAAATTTTATAATCTGCTAGCTTTCAACCAGTCCTCCCTCTTCGTTCCTCCTCGCTCCAGTCAAAAACTTCTTCAGTCTCAACTGCCTAGACATATTAGTCCTTAATGTCTCGCAACACCTGTTGAATAAAAAACTAATTTTCAAATTTTTGATACGCGGGATTAAAAGTTAGTCGTAAAAATTGAAATGCGACACTTATGAAGATTAGCTGACATACCAACTTTAACGTCTTCTGTAATGCGCCTTGCAAACATTATGATTGGAGGATACAACCTCGTGATTTCCTTGACGCAACGATCCAAGTGGACCAATTTTTCAAGATCTTGATTAGTAACTTCCCGCTCTTCATCACCTTAAAAACAAACCGACATTCTCATAGCTCTACATTTCGTTTTGATTTTTGATGACATAAGGCAAAAACTAGCGGTCCTCTAACTCCGTCATTTGCGATCTTGTCCAGACGATTTGTAATCTTACCAAAAACACTTTTCACCTCCTCATAAACTTTATCCTGCTCCTCCTTTTTGTTTCCAAGTACGAAGAGTGTAAACCCTACATTAGCCGACGTAGTGTCGTGACCTGAAATAGTTCTTTAAGCCATATACTGTGCTCGTTGACAAGCTTAACTCTTCTTGTTCAAATTCCAATTCTAGTCCTTCCTTTTGGAAAAATGTGATGTATCATTATTATTTTACTTTTCCCTATAACTGCTTATAGCACTTTTCTAGACTGAGAGGTTCACAGGCAGCGAGCTTTCTGAATGACTAAACGTCATTGGTAAGTCAGCTAGTACGCTTGCTTCTCATGCTGTCCACTAGATAGACTGTTTTGCAGATTTGAGGAAGTTACTAATAATTCAAACTTGTTTTTCAGTTACTAGACACTCAAGCCACTTTTAAATAAAACACTTGAAAAATGATGAGCGTAAGAAAATAAGGGTAATAAAGAATTGCTTTGAGACACTTGTTGAACTTTGTCATACAGCCAACTTTGTACGTCTTATATGGAATTCTGTTATACCTAGACTACAACAGTTTAAGATTTGCGGAAAGTTTATTTGGAGTAGGACGATTGCCGGAACAATACTCATATCTATAGAACTTCGCTAATATTCATATGGGAACATCTAAAAACAATATCTAGTTCTTTTGGCGAAAACTTAAACAAACGCAAAAAGCCAATTAGGAGACAGGAAGGAAAGTTGAAAAATCAGTTTTTTAGATTTATATAAAAAATTTTTATAGGTTGCATTACTTTTATAAATTTTGGAATTATGTCTTGCTATGCAGCACCGAGGAGGAAAGAAGTGTTGTAAGAGTTTATATATTCCAGTAGACAGAAGTAAACTTTTAAATAAAGTGATAAGAATAAGTGGCCAGTAATTTTAATTTATTTGCAGTTTTTTGTCTCTTTTTCTTCTTTTACACGTTTTTTTTTCTGAAGGGTCCGTTGCTCGGTGGCCGTGATTTTCACATAGAATTTGTGAAGATCACGCCTATTCTTAAGAATTTGTTTGGTAAGCTATCTCAAAAGTCCCTCAAATTACTAATCGTTGTCTTCTTCTTTTGAAATAAATAGGACATAGGAATATAAAGCTTAAAAGTATTCCACTTGTTTTACAACTACAAAGCATGACATTGCTTTCTAAAAGGAATAGACCCTTAACGTAGTCAAAAAAAAAAACCTTTTAAAAATTTTAAAATATTATATTTCTTACTGAAAATTCTTATTTTAATTTGCATATAATAAGTAAATTTTTTTATCCCCAGCGTTATTGAAAAAAATTATTGTTGACAGTTTGTCTTTTTTGTGTTTTTCATTTCAGCTTATTCAACGGAAATACTTTTTTAACAATCGGATGTGAGACAAAATTACAAAATTTTATAAACATAAAGTTAGTCAGCAAATCAAAAGAATTTCAAATTCAAGGAAAGATCTGTCAGTAGAAGTCTTTAATTTGTTCTAAGGTTTTACTCAATAAATGTCTAATTAATTAAGCTACGAAAAAAAAAAACAAAACCGAACATCTTTCCAAAAAATATTTTTTAACAACATTATTTAGAGTTACGGTACAACAAAGCATAAAATTTTATTTTTTAATGAAAGTACCTGCGATTAGAACAGTTGAAGTTTCGTCACAGACATCTTCATCACTTAAATTGTATTCTTCTTGCAAGCTTAGCAATAAATCCAAGAATGACTTTCTAGCCTTCTTGTCAGCAGCAATCTCTTCAAAAGTCCGCTTTTTTTTCATGCTTTCGTATTCTTTTTTGCGCTCTTTCACAACCTGAAACGTTTTTTTTACTTACTGTTTACCTTTAGCACAATGTAGCAAAGAAAAGTTACTACCTTCCTTGTTAAACCATTTGTGATTTTGGTATATTTATCCATCATTTTCGCGTACCCAAGCAAGTGCCAAATTGGTTTAATTCTTAACCACGGATAGCGTGCGCTCTTGAAAGACAGCTCTAGAGATCCAGCTACTGCCTCATAGCAGTCTTCGTTCTCGCCTTTCTGAGCGTTAAGAGAAACCCCTAACGTTGTCTCTAAAAAAGGAAAATATATGTGACAGGGTATAACCACTGATTTTAAACCGCATCTCTAACAAGTGTGGTATGTTAACATATTTCAAATCTGATTTAAACAGACATTTGTCGGAAAAAATTGGCTTTAGAAATTATAAAAAATTATACATTTTGTCTGAAATATTTTCTAAAAAGTGAAGTACTTAGTTGCAATTTATCTTTGTACTAGACATTAGGTCAATCGATAATAAAAAGAAAAAAAATAGAAGGAGTTTTTGGAACCAAGTTACTGAGGACTACCTGTGATAACATCTAAACCAAAGCGTCTTAGATATGGAAGCAAGTCAAAAGTCTCATCTTTGTCTGCTCGTTCGTCTAGCATTTCGATCAAAATCTTAAGCAAATTGTTCAAGACCATTTTAAAAAACGGTGTTTATTAAATACAGATTTTTAACAAAAAATTTACTTCTGCCTGTTTGTTAAAGCTCGTCATATAGTTTTGAATAATACTTGAATGAAAAGCAGGGCTAAGCATCTTTCTTCTGGTGCGCCATTTTTCTCCAGAACTTAAACATTTTCATGTCTAAGTAGTCTTTCTAGCGATTCTTACTCGCCTTTCTCAATTTTGCAAATAACAATCTTTAAAAAAGAGAAAAAAATTTTTAATTTATTTTTACAAGGTATCTTTTTGAAGAACACTTTGAAAAATTCATTTTGCTGCTTTTACCATGCCTACCTTACCACTAATCCGTTCCCTAAAGCGACCTGAAGAACGTTATACTCATCTGGTTTGTCGATTAAATTTGGGTTTTCCAAAACAGCCTAAAAATGATAATTCAAATGGTGTCGTCATTCAAATGGTGTCGCCAGAAATCCAGAATTTTCTAAAGTAATTAAATTTGACGCAGATAAAATTTATATATGAAAAGATATTTAAAAGAGAACTAACCTTGACACCAGGCGCCCGAGCAAGAAACACAACAGGGAAGGGTCCAATCCAGATTCGTATTATACCCCATTTGTTCGTATAAGCATATTTCCGAAAATAATATTCCATTTGGTACGTAAACTCTAGACTTTCAACATCATATAAACAAATTAAAGTGTTTTTTCTTCAGTCTTTAAAAACGTCGCTACATACTTTTTATAGACATAGATTCACAAAATCCATGATAATAATTAACCTACCAACTTCGTCATTGCTCAATCCTAAGCAGTTACCGAACAAAGGACGCGTCTTTGGTCCAGGCATTTTGCTTACGTTGTCGTAAATGTGCTTAAAATAGCGATATTTTTCCTCCAGTTGACGTCTTTTTAGCAACAAGCACATCAGCCCAACCAAGAAGGCTAAGACGATTACTAACATCCTTTTGTTTCCTGTTAACCAACGAAAATTAATTATCGACGTAATCCAAGCAAAATTTGAAAAATACATTGTGCTTTAAACGAATCTTCTTTGCGCCAAAAGCAAAATTTAGTCATTCGTTTTAAAATTTTAGTATGTGTATAAATACAAATAAATAATATTGCGTAATTTTAAAATATTTTTTAAACCGATTGACAAATTATATTTTTGGTTTCAAAAGCTTTTTAGGTGTGAAACTTAGAATATAATCTGTTTAAACATTTTAAATTTTACTTAAATTTTAATACTTTAGCCTAAAGCATATTTTTTATTCAATGTCAGTTACAGGATTAATCTGAAGTTAATAATTCAGTGAAGACGCAACAGTTTAGTGCTCGTTTCAGCAAAAAAGTTTATTTGGTGCAGATTTAAGTGCTCAATTTATGAAACTTGTTGATGTTAACCGCCCAGAAATTCAGTAAAATTTTACTCTTTGAGAATCATTTTATAGCAAACTACACTCCAATATTACGATACACTAAATTAGCAAAAGCAAAACACAACTTTTTTTAGTCAATTAATATGACTGTTTTTTTCTTTTCTATTATTACAGTAGTTCAAAAAAATAAAGCGCACAAAGCATAGAACATAGTCTTTAAAAAATTTCATAATAACGCCTTGAAATACCAGCATAGTCTCTTAGAGATTTGACAGTTTTTTGTGATGTGTCCTCGATAAAATGTACAAAATAAAAAATCACACGTATAGAAGTTAGTAGCAATTATATGACCCATTACTAAACGATTTTTCACTTGTTAGTAAATTTGAAACTATTGTAATAAAAACAAAAAATGAGATAATTGGTTTAATCAAAAATTATGAGCAAAAGGTTTCTGCTTTAAGTCTTTTCAGTAGTACGAAAAACCTTCCTGTTAAAGATTATTTGTTAACCTTTTGACAGCTACATCAAAACAAATGATTTTTGGTTTTTCTAATTGCAAAAATAAAAAAATTTTGAAAAAACTTGATGAAAATGTGAGATTTTTCATTAAGCCTGCAAACGTCAAAAAATTAAAAAAAATTAAAGTTGAGGCAGAAAATAAAAACACGAATCAAGGATACCTGTTCTTGAATAGCTGTAAAGATTTTTGAACGATCTAGAGAGAACTATGACTGCCGTGACACCATCTTGAAAAGCAAATTGAGGTGTACACAGCACATACTAGGACTATTAAATAGTAAGTAGTTAAAAAATTTTTTTAATAATTGGTTGGGCGTTGCAATAATTTAGTAAAATATTTTCAAAGATTATTGCTTTACTGTTGTTTTTCGGGTATAAACACGAGCTGTCAAGTTCACCGGTATACTTTGCAGATGGCCTTGGAAAATTTAAGTTTCCTTGAAATTTTTTTTTCAAAAACACCTAATTACACCGTTTTCAACGAAACAACAAATACAGAAGATATTTTTGGTTTTTACCAGCAGTGTTTTTCTCTGTAACTGCTTTTCGTAACAATCTAAAGTTGTTTCTTTCAATTTTCTGTTAATTAGTTTAATGGAAGATTGTGGTGAAACGTTTTCCTGGTAAAAGAAAAGTTGGCGAAAAAAAAATAACTACCGGTTTTAAAGAAGCGGCAAATTTTAACTAGTTTAGATTTTTTCGGTTTTCAGACAAATTAATATTTTTAGAACTCAAACAACGGTAAATTCAATAATAAATTAAAAAGTAAAACAAAAACAACAAATATTAGTTTAGAAACCAAATTTAAAAATGATAGATTTAATACCTTTAATTTTTTGAGTACACTGGCTCTAATACCCTCTTCTTGACACACAGATAAGAAATTTTCTGAAAGATATACTGCAAACGTGTACAACAATAAAATTATTTTGAAAACGACGCTCTTCAAAGTTTAAATTTGTGTCACACTTTTCTATTTTTCTTTTATTTATTTTAAAAAAGCGAAGAAAAAGTAGATTTGGAAAAGTGGTGAACACGGAAAAAGTAGGTAATTTTAAAGCACGAAATTTTTAAAAAATGCTGAGCATTTGGCCAACTCGGCTTTTTTTCAGTCATACTTACAACGCAAATATTTTTTACTGTTTTCACCAGAAAGAGAGAAATAATACAATTGAAACATTACAAAATCTGGTTTCTTCGCCAAAAATTCAAGTTCTTCAGGTTACATTTTGACGTTCTTTACACCAACAAACTCTTTTTTCCTTTTCTGATAACGACAAATTTAGGGTACAGCAAGTCGAAGCTTAGCCGGTACTTACTCAGATTTCTACTAATCAATTTCTTAAACTACATTATCGGTAAAATAAAGAAATAAAACTGTTTTTTAATCAAAACGTTTTGTAATAGGCAATAAATTACCTTGATTTCAACCTCGTCTGTTCACTCACTCTTACCAAGTACCAACTACTTCTACTAATTGATTAACAGATTCATTTGCTGTTCAACTTTAATTTGTTAAATAAGTTAACAAAAGAAAACAATTTTGGTTTTATTTTTGGAAACAGTTGATATTAATTGAAATAATAATTCAGTTCAAAAGAAATAAACGTGTCGTCAGCATGTTAGTGACAGCGGGAATAGTAAACTTCGATTTTCTGTGGCAGTTCTCATGACAAACAATATATTTGTTTCTATTTGCTCAAACTGCTCATACCAATACGCTCAGATACAATACAATACATATTTTATGTTTTTGTTTTTGTTATCGCTATGAGAAAAGAAATAACGCGTCTGCGTCAACTGTCTTCATTTTTGCAAACTGCAAATTTCAAACAAGAAATGAATTTTTTCCAAATTTTATAGAGTATTTTGTAAACTATGGCCCTTCATTTTGGCTAAACTTGTAAGCATTTAAAATTTAAGTTTAACTGATTGATGGATAAATACATCTAATTCTTCTAAGAACAAAGGAAAAAAAGTAAAATTTTTATAGCAAATAAGATTATGCGATACATTTATGAGGCCGACAGCTGTACAGTTTCTACTAGCGAATATTTATTCCAGTGGCTTAAAATATGTTAAAGCAAACGGATGAACAAGCTCCTACGATGTTTTTAAGTAGAATAACAGCGAATAAAAAAAAGAAAGCGAAATAATGTTGTGGCAAATTAGTTTAGGATAGGACTTATCTATGAGGCCGATAATTTAATAGCTGTTGCAGGAGAGCAAGAAGCATTACGGCGGAGTACCGTTTACAAAATTCGACAGCCATTTCTATCCAAATCTCCTTGTTCCTTGCCTAACACCACAAACTTTTTTGCTTACCTTAAATGTGACAGTTTCTGCTACTTAGTTAATCATTTGCTTTTGTTTCAGTCGCATAATTTGCTTGATTAAATAAAAAACCCGTAAAAATAAAAAAAATTTCAGACAAGATGATAGCAACTTTCAGTGTTTGGTATTAAATTTGATAACGACAACTGAACAATTAGCTATGCGATAGTACTTAGCAAAAAGATGGAAAGCCGTGATTTGTGCTCGCTACAATCACCAATCTGATGAAGAACGCTAGTGAAGATGTATTACAACAATATAATTAGAAGACAATAAGGACCAACTAAAAAGAAGAAAAAGGTCTGCAATAAAAAATAAACTGGAATTTTGAAAAATTTTAACCGTTTTACAACAGAAAACGACACAATCTGACAAAAAATTGCATGATCATAAGTTGAATGCAAAAAAACAAAGAATGAATGTTATCGAGTGCTGTTCCAGGATAAGCAAAGGACTGTTACGAAATGTTGACAGTTTTCAATAGAACAACTCATACAGTTCTTAGTTCTATTTTTTTAACTTTGTATTTCAATAGAGCCTTATTTTAAGTAGCTAGCGAAAATATGCGCAAAAACTCCGTTTTTCATAAACTTCTTAAAAACTTTCATAGTTAGAATTTTTTCGTGAGCTCATTGAACTACTCCTCAATTGAGTTCTAGAAAGAAACTTAAGTGGTTTATCTGTAAAATAGACACTTATCTATAATCTTAAGGGTTATCATTTCTGCATAAATTTATTAACGGTTTCTTCGCTGTTCTTTATGAAGAAATGCTTAAATTAAAAGCGGCACTTCGTTTTTGGCTGATAACTTTCTCTTTGATTTCTGGTTAAGATACGTTCTAAATAATCGGAAAAACTCTGGTACCTGATAATAGCTCTTTCAGCTATTTTTCCA